GTCTTGTCGCCGGCTAAATTTTTAGTTTCTGGTGTGCAGTTCTGCACTCGCCTTTGTACTTGGCAGTGGTGAACTGTGGACCTGGACCCTGGGCCTTCACTAGGACCAACTGTTGACTATCATGACATTATTTATTTAAAGAAAACTAAATGAAGGGAATTGCACATGCACTTATTTCATATATTTGTTTAATAAACATTAGCTACTGTTCAACAAAATGGATAGATCCCCGGCCGGGCTACGAGCTTCATGGGCTCTGAGCTCTGCCAGCTCTGAGCTTCGGCCTGACCGCAGGCTCCGACCTCTGGTTCTTGGACCGTCCAAATACGGGCGTCATGCTTGTTTTTTGACGGTACGGTCTCGCTTATATTTGCTCTCACAGGGTATTTGCGAAGGCCCGGAAGATGTTGTGATATGATTCCGCCCATAACTCAGTGAAATATGATTAGCTAAGACTATATATATATATATATATATATATATATATATATATATATATACACGTGTGCGTGCGTGTGCGGCCGAAGTGATATGTGACACATTCTATGTATGTTCTTAAAATATATAATATATCTTCTGAGTTAAAATAAAGATAATACTGTGCATGTGTTAGATGCTCTGTAAATGCTCTTAAGGGTTCTCACACTTTTCTGATATAGCAAGTCTGAGGAAGAGCTATTGGCTCAAAACATCACTGTATATAAAATCTTTCAACAGGAACTACTTTATGTGTGTATCACTCTCAGCGCCCATTCTAGAAAGCCTGCAATGTGTGTCTTTGTAATCATTCACACATTTAGATATTAAATGTTTTACTGAGTGGTATAAAAAAATTATTAATAATAATAAATTGAGGAAAAGCTGAAGCATGAAATGTTAACTTTTCATTAGAAACATATTGCAAGAAAACAACCACACTGGATTATTATTATCTACTCATGTACTGAAGGATTAATATGGTAATGTTGTGTAACTAGCACCATTGGATTCCTTGACCCATACAATGTGGGTTTAGCAGTAAAAATCAACATTTCAGTTTATTCAGAAGTCGATATACTAAAATTTTTACATTTGCGGCAGCCATTTTTTAAACTTCAATATGGCCGCCATATGGACATCTGGGCAAATGCAAACATTGATTTTCTGACTCCATATACTATAACCTTTCCAAAAATATATAGTTTAGCAAATCCCCCCAAAATTACAATTGTTGAATAGAATCTTTAGTACAGAACAGGTGTTCACTCTGTTTTAAAGTGGTTTATTGATTTACCACCAATAGAAATATTAACACTACAAAATAAATAAATAAATAAAACTAAATTAAACTATAAAACACAATAAAACTAAAATAATTCTTTAACAGTGGGCACCCCACTGATTCCTCTGTTCCTATGATTCAAGGACCTGATGTCCAGCAACAGCTAGAGTTAACTGAGAATCTGGATCAAGCGAGCACAAGTCAACAATCAACCACTGGACGCACCCCTTTCAAAGGTAAAAGCACCTTTGTTCCCCCTAGAGGAACTCTTCCATAGACACCTATTTCCGGTTAGTCATTGACATCAACATGACATTTCCATGCTTCTCAACAGAAAAAATGAATACGAAGTTACAAATAACAGTTGGAGTTTGATTCACTAAAAAATGACAAATCAGAGGTGATTAAAAGTGCTGACAAGGGTGCCGCTATATTACTCCTCGATCGCTCATTGTATGAAAGAGAGATACAGAGGCAAACAGAGGCAATTAAGCAATGCTACATTTTACAGAAAACTGGACAAGAAGGCAACCCTTGCATTCAAACAATGCATCAGAGCAAAACTGGGTACTTTTTTAAAGAATGGTGACATCACCAAAGAAGAACATGCATCCATGGTGGTTAACTTTCCAGTCACTCCAGTACTCTATATTCTACCTAAAATTCACAAGCATTACACTGATGTTCCACCAGGGCAGCCAGTAATATCAGTCACTGGTTCACTCTCTGAAAAAAATTCAGCTTATGTCGATTAGAGCCCGACCGATATGGATTTTGCTGTGGCCGATATGAAACCGATATAATGGAAGTTGGGGCTGCCGATAGCCGATATAATCACCGATATATTTAGTGATGTAAAAATTCACTGTAAATGTTGAATTGTTTAAAAAACTTAGGTTTGGCTCTGGTGGATTTTAAATTGGGTTTATTTAGGCAACATTTATTGTTATTCTGCCTCTTTACATCATATTTACAGACAGTAGGTTGGCTTAATGGCATTTTTGCATCACATTCTAGACACTAGTGATGGGTATTCCAGTTCTTTTTAGAGAACCGGCTCTTTTGGCTCGGCTCACTAAAAGCTGCTGGTTCTTTTGGCTCCCAAGTGGCTCTTCAGATTGTTTTGTTGCAAGCAGGACTAAAGCACGTCTAAAGCAGGACTGAATCAGGACTGAACCAGGTCTAAACCAGGACTGAAAAAGGACTAAACTGGGACTTATTTATTTTATGCTAAACTACAGTCAAATATGCTCGTTTTTTTATTTTTATTTTTTTTAATCCTACGTACACGCAAATTTCTCAAAGTTTCGTTTTTAGCCGCTGCCGCTGTCAAACCACGAATCTGCACGCGGCGTGAAGAGAAAAAAAGTGAGAGAAAGAGAAAACACGGCTCCCAATAAGGATCAGGCTCCCGTCGTTCCCTTCAAAGAGCCGGTTCTAAGAGTCATTTCGTTCACAACGGACCCATAACTAGTAAAGAAACTAGCGCTATTAGCCTTTAGCCGTAAATATACGTGCGCGCCGCGGTAATTAATTATATGCGCAAATGTCATAATTCACACGTCTATTCACAGCTTATTTACATATCAGTGCAGGTCCAGTAACAAATATACGGCCTACAGCTGCTACAGCAGCTAACCCATAACAAATGACAAAAACTAGCTTCAGAGTCAACATATTTCCAACACTCACCGCTCATACAGGCTCCTCCTCACATCACAAATCTGCACTAATAAATGTCCTTTTAATCCAGACTCAAACCGATTGTCCGTAAAAAGAATATAATTTCAGTGTTTGGATCTGTGTCTGCAGGTGTAAACAAACACACGTGAGTGACGCGACTCTGTGGTGTGTTCAGGGACAGTACGGACACACACAGACAAATGACTCCGTAGATAAATACTGTGGAGCCACATATTAGGACATTTATCTGTCTGTAAATTGGATTAAATGAACAGAATGTAGAGAGTCTAAGTTTTATAACGAGGTATAACATGTGAAATATCGGCCCCTATCAGCAAGCATATCGGCCGATAGCCGATATGCCTAAAGTTGCCCATATCAGCCGATAATATCGGCCAACCGATATATCGGTCGGGCTCTAATGTCGATTATTATCTTCCACCTCTGGTCACATCTCTCCCTATGTGGAATTTATCAAAATGGTTCAATCCATCTCAGTTCCAGTAGAATGTCTGTTAGTTACAATGGATATTGAATCTTTATAGACTAATGTACTTTATTTACTTTTGAAGGAGGATTATGGGCTTCAGAATTTTTTCTTAGTCAAAGACCCAATTGCATGCCTAGCACAAAATGCATAGTTGATCTTATTGACACTGTACTTACATCAAATTTCTTCATGTCCGGGTCTAATTTGTCAGGCACAAGTATGGGATCCATGATGGCACCAAGTTCTGCATCTCTCTACTGTGGACGCTTCAAAATATGAGATTATCTCCAACATCTCATGTAATCTATACCTGCTCCATATCTCAAACTGGAAGAGATATATTGATTATGTTTTCTTTGTCACTCCTACACAAATTCCACAACTACTTCAACCCCAACAATTACAACCTGAAATTGACAATGGAGCACGACAAATTTAAAATGAACTTTTTAGACATTCTTGTGTTCAGAAACTTGGATAAGCTCTCCACAAATTTATACCGTAAGAGCAAAAACAGGAACTCCATTCTCCATGGCACCTCTTTCCATCCAACTTCACTCCAAAAAAGTCTACAAATTTTCCAATGCAGTCATTAACGATGCATCTGCAGCTCTGATTAAAATTTTCAAACACAAACTGATCTGGAGAAACGATTTAAACAAAGACAATACAAACAAGAGTGGACTGAGAGTGCCTGAAGTTGTTTCTATGGCATAAAGCTGGCTAAGTACCTCCAGCGCACCAGAGTTACCAAAACCAATACAAGGATCCAGTGTATACTCCAGTATTCATCAGCAGAAAAATGGTAAAAATCATTGAAAAACACTGGTACATACTACAATCTTCTCCAGGTTTGAATGGCTTCACATCACCACCTCGAATCATCTAAGAGACCTCCAAAACTGAGTCAAATGCTGGTGAGGGGCCACCTGCCACCAACCACTCTGCCCCACATTTTGCTGTCTGTCCCAGAGGGCAACTATCGGTGTGGACACTGTACACAGTGTAACTTTACTCACAAAACACATATTTTCAATCATCCCAGTTCTGGAAAAAAATAAAAAATCAAGGGAGTTATTACCTGCAATACCAACAATGTGATCAGTGTGCTAAAATGGCAGAACATTTGGCATTCTTATCAAAGTGAATTAGATTACCTGTTGATCTATTTCTGAATCCTCTTCTCCTTTGACATCAGACTATAAAATAATAATAACAAACTAATAAAATAACAAAGACCTCTTAATTTTAGGGGTGCTGAAAATAATTTTAGGGTCTAGACTCACCCCTGGTGTTTATGGGCAATGTTTGATGGGTGTGTGCAAAATACACAACAATGTCTTCTTAAGTGCCACATTATGGGGATACAGGAAGTTTAACTGTAAATTAGGCAAACCTGCATAGGGCCTATTGCATGGTCAGGTCAGGGGAATCTTTAAGTTAAATTTCAAGCCTTTTTGTTTTTAGGGTCTTGTTGTGGGATTCATGTTAGGATTAGGTCATAGTACTAGAACGTCATGATTTTAAATTCTCTTCAAACTTGAAAAAAATCTTTATTCACAAATATCAATAAATGACAAGGATGTTTATTATAATACTTGACAGGTTTGGGTCTATATGTGCATTGCTATATCACAGCCTATGGTTCACATCAAACAAATCTAAATAGTGTGTTCATTTGAGTCAGTAAATAACCTGAAAAATTATACACTCAACATTCCAGTTTTCTTGTATAATGTTGTACACAAAAATATATATTTTTATGGTAACAAAGGCACTGATTTGTTTTACATTCAACAATACACTTATTTTTATTCCAAAATAACATCTGTAAAAAAACAAAAAAAAAACAAAAAAAAAAAAAACATGGAAATTTGCTGATGCCATACTTTCAGTATGGCATATTTCAGTATACTTTCTGTTTAACTCTAAGGGACATTTTCTAACTTATAAGGCTGACATGAGTGTTGAGCTTTTAAGCTTTTTATTACTTGTCAGGATTCAGGCTCTGGTCCACAAACCTACCCAATTTTATTCTTTAAGCTTGGTTTTATATCATAAATTGTATTTGATTCAACCACCACATCCGTGAGGTAAGTGGCGTCCAAATTTTATTTTTTTTTTTCAGACTTGTTTAACTTGGCCAACATATACTGATATGCAGTACTCAGAGTTATACACATCAATCAATCAATCAGAAAAGACAAGAGCAGAACAAGCATAGAAATCCAACATGTTTGAATCAGTAAAGTGAGATCCGGTAGTTCCATGTTTTTCCAAAACAAAAGATTCTGTAATAATGTTTGGGCACTTTTATTTTCTGGCTTCTGCTCCAAACCACAATTTCTTCTGACTTTGTGCGAAAAGTATATGAAGGTAAGCAGAACACAATCTTTGTGGTCCTTTCTACTGACAACACATCTTTAAGGGTTGAATAGTAGCACCACTTTCTGAAGCTATACTGTAAATATTTATGACAGGGTAGATTTAGCACTTTATGTCTGTTCTTGTTTCATGTTGATAGCCCCAGTAATTGTTCTTAGCTCTTAGTCATAAACCAGGCAATCTGACTAAATCTGAATCTCAGAGTTAAACAGCAAATTCCACCATATAATTCTGACCTGCCCTACAACACAATATAATATGGCTACTATAGGATTGTCAAGTATGATATCACAGTTGTTTGACACAAAAAAAACATTGCATAGAACATTGTGGTAAACATAATTTGGTAACATATGTTATATATGAAAATGGTGTCTAGAGGTAAACCAGAGTATGCTTATCACTGTGCAGCTTTAAATTTAAAGCATTTTACAAAGCAGTAGAGATAATAAATCTGTCCAAAGGCCAACATGAATGATTTGAAATTCCATTGCACCTGAAAAGTAGCCAAAGTTTTGAAATCATCAGGTAACAGTCCCATAAACATCCTAGAATATTATAATGTCATAAGAACCTGGCATATCAAGTCAACAAATAGACTTGATAGGCTGGGTAGTTAGGCCACATGTAAAACTGCACACTATTACTACTGTTTTATTAGCTAGCTAGAACAGTTAATATGATATTAGCAATTTGATCAACAGCAACACTGAATTACTTTGGACGAGGATTTGAACCATTGGATGAGGGGAAGAGGATTTCATATGATGGAGGTTCCTCATCTGTTTGGGAGAGGAAGTTTTCAGTCATCATAGGGGCAGAAGGGACACTTACTCCAGAGGGGAGTGGGGCAAAGTGATCATTTTCTACTTCCAGTGTATTGTAAGTTGGTGGCGTTGAAGAGAATTGAGAATGTGCCTGGCCAGAGGAAGGTGGATGAAGAAGTGTTGCTGGAGGAGGAGGGTGAAGAACAGAGGCTGATGATGATGAAGAAAATGGATATCCATATGCGTTTATCTGCTCAGGCACAGAACACATGCTTGGAGCTCCAGCGTACATTGCAGCACTAGCTGGGTATTGAGAAGTGGCTGATGTAGCTGAAGAATAAGGACTAACAAAAGATACTGGAGCAGGGAAGTCACTGGTGCTCGGGCCTCCAATAGCGCCACCTGCAGTATGAGGACTATCCCAGAAAAGGACTACTGGAAACACAATCTCTGGGTTAAAGGAAAAACTGATGTCCAGGGATGCCTGTAAATAAAAATAAATGTGAGTACATGTTCAATATTCAAATACAATAAATTAATAAATTAACAGTATTAGTGGTTTTGCCTTAATGCGGTACTCCACTGAAAGTATGTCACAGTTTTGAATGGACAGGGGTGTATCGGGAGGAATCGTCAATGAAAATGTGTGTTCCTTAAGAGTTTGGGGTTTAACACACTCTCGGTATTCTCTGCAAATTACTAATTTGTCATGTTTAGTATTTCCCTTTACTCGATACTCCACATCTTGAATGAAGCTGAATTTGGGTGTTGCATCTTTGGATGAGGAATTGTTGATCTTTGCATTTATCAACACAGAATCACCTAGAAGGATACATTACTGCAGTTAAAATAACTTTTACTTCAAGACAACCAGGACAACTTTATAGAGGACCAATATCTTACCTGGGACATAACCTCTCCTGTCGACTGTAACATCCATCTGCACAGTTCCTTTATTGAAAATACCAACTTCCTTATTTGTTGAGCCTACTTGTTGGAACTAGAGCACAAAAAGAGTTGGCTGGCTTTATAAATAATTTAGTAATCTTGGCAGTTTAATATGAAGTGTTATAGTTTCTTCCTGTCAAATTAACTGTAACCAAATGACACAGTACTCACATTCATTCGATTAATATTAGGAAATGCCTTTGTCCGGAAACAAATCTCTTTTTCATCTGTACGGTCAAACCTCCAGCTTCTACACAACCTCGCTTCAAGTTTGTAAACAACCTTTCCAGAACCACCTCGAAAGGATGATGGCATGTTTCTAAAAAAATTAAAATATATATATATATATATATATATATATATATATATATATATATATATATATATATATATATATATATATATATATATATATATATATATATGGAAAATATTATAGCCTGCATATTTATTTATTTTTCTCATAATATTTTTGCATTAAAGAGGTGTAACTGAATTTATATACTTACCCTAATGGTATACCGATGCTGAATTTGAAAATATGAACCCCTGCGGGAAGTCTGGTGTCTATAAAAGTAATAAACAACTTATTAAGTATCTTTATTTTCAACAGACCTAATATAAGATGTGACCACCTAAGATGACTAAAATTAGCACGAGACAACGCGTACCTTTAGTCTCTTGAGTGATGAGAAAATGCTTCTCCTTAAACAATCTTCTGTTCGCGCTGTAGGTATGAGAGTCTTCCCCATGCTGTTCAGTCCAATGAACTTTAACATCGCCTTTAAGTTTTACGGAGAGGCTTTCGATCTTGGTTTGTTTTTCTAGTTCCAGTGTAACCTTTCCCGTTACTGTATCGCCCTCCGAAAAGATCCCATAATTGTGTAAGTCATCGTAAGTTATCGCAAAGTTTTTCAGGGAAGGCATTTTAAAACTAGGCCACAAGAAAACAAAAAATTAAAAAAAAAACGAAAGTAGCATGCTAGTTAGCGAAAAATGAAAACATGATCTTGACAATCGTTGGCCCACAGCACTGGCAAGACCACGCCTGTGATCGTGTTGAGAGCAGCAGTGGAGAGTGTCGGTCTTTGCTGCCATCTGCTGTGCGCTCAATGAAAGGTCAACTCAAAAGGCCCTCTGAGCGCGAGGGGAACACCAACACGTGCTGCTTACGGTGCCTTCACGTCCTAAAATAATTATCGTAATCACTATAAATCGACATCAAAATTGCACAAGAACACCACCTCACGTCGTAATTACCCCTGAAAAGATGGAAGATGTTTATGATACACGATCTAGCGAGATGAGATAAACTTTGACCTTTCATCATGGCGGAGAGCAGCGAAAGTGTCGTGAATGGTAAGCACTAACCAACCCTAAACCCTAACCCTAAGTATTTCATTCTGTTAAACGTTTTCTGCTGCTGTTAGCTGGTTAGTGTGTAGCCTGCATAATGCTGTGGTTTACATCATTTTAACTTCGCCATTTACGCTTATTATTAAAATAAGTAAAATAAATGATAAAATATAAAAACAATACAACAACAACAATACAATGCAATAAAATATGAAAACCCAAGTAACAGGTCACGGTCCGATGTGTTGTCTCACTGCGATAACAAAAGTAGTTGAACACAAGAAACTCGTAATTTCCACTTCACAGTTGGAAAGGTTAATCTTTCCCATACCACGTGAAGGCAGCATTAGCTTGTCTCATCAAGAGAGATTTGTCATCATCTGCCTTTTTAGAGTTCTTTTTAAGTTTCCATTTTCTTGTCTTTCATAAATACATGATTTACTTATAAATAACACACTTAATGAAAATATCTACATCGACGATTGGTATAAGTTTAACTGAATTTGAACTCAAGTTTCGCTGCTACTCAACAGAAACAAGCAAGAAACATAAACAAGATGTACACACAATAAAGAGTGATCCAATATCATACTATCACACATCAGAGCATTTTATAATTAAATATTACACAGCATTATAATATTGTGTGGTGTAAATTACAACCACCAAAATATAGCTGAATATTTACTGCACATCACGAGATAGTTTCCAACATGAATTTTTGATTTTGTGTTTCTTTTTCTCAAATAGGCTGGACAAACCCCAGTTGGGATGGTTGATGTAAATAAAACTGGAAAGAGCGCATGCACGGTTTTCTGTATTTTACCTAAAGAAATTTGAATATTTTGCCCCTATTATTGTTGGTAGGGATCAAATTGGTCAAAAATAGGGACACCTGGGGCATTTCTTGTATAAAACTGGGACAAATCACTGGTTTTGGATAAATCTGTAGGGACAGGGGACAAAACTGGGTAAATAGGGACATCTGGTCACACTAGCTAGACACTATCTTTGTTGAAGTGAATAAGTAAACACACATGTTAAAAGAATGGTGGTTTTGCAATTGATCTTTTAATGGCAAAGACTTGAATCACGCCCCTTGGTAGAAGCTCATTAATCGTGCTGCATGTGTGTGCACTTGCTGGATAGGTTGTATTGGAGAAAGGCGGCCTTGGTCAAGTCCAGTCTTTATTAAGATTAATGAACAGCTTGACATTTTTAGTCCTCTGTCTGAATCGATAATTTTAATACTCATGAGGGCCAATGGGGATCTGAGCTTGTGGAACACACATTGTGGCCACAGGGCACATGTTAAATGTCCAAGTGGTAATCAATGCAAAGAAATTAGCTATTGATCTCTTATAGTTTTGTAATAGGTTATCTATTGGTTTGCTCTTTCAGAAAATTCCAATATCAGTCGGATGGAATTGTGCTGGTAATATTGCTTATGGGAGTGTTTGTTTAGAGCATACTCTTTCCTGCAGATGTGTGTGGTCTTGGGCAGGGTCACGTTATAATTAGTAATTGTAATAAACATGTGAAGACAATAGTGATGTATGTTGACTATCTACCTTAATTGCAGTAAACGTAATCGAAGGTCTGCATCTAACATCTATAAAACTGTGTACAATTTAAAGGTGCTACAGTTGTATTCATGCAGATTTTGGGTTTTCTGCACTGGTATAGGTTAACATCGCATAGCAGCAGATACTTTACTAGAGTAATCGAGAAGAATCGGTATCAGAACTGAAAAAGCTGGATTCGTGTATTAGTCATTAATATATGTTAAGGCAATTGTATGTCAGGGAGGGAAATTACTACACATTGTTGATTTGGAAAGAAAACAGAAATATTATTTAATAATATATTGCTGTCTTAACCTAGCCTATTTTTGTTTGCACTGTGTACAGAGTATCTTGATAAACTGAACTGGATGGTTCTTCTCTGCTGGAGAAGTGGGAAGCTCTGACACAGTTCACTTTCATCAGGCTGGACCCAGTGAAGTTGCTTCCAGGAGGATCACATCACATCACTGCAAAGCTGTATGGAAGGTGCCATTTTCAATATTATATTATATTTTATTCTCTCTAGTAGGGATGCAAGAATACAGTCTGCACTGCTTTACAGTGCATTATTCATTCACAACACACTCGGTGGTGGAGAGCTATTAGACTGTTTGGCTGGCAGGCTGTACCATCAACTAATGCACACACAGCATTCATACTATGCAGTGTGGGTGAAGTGTCTTGCCTGAGGACACAACAACAGTTTTCACTAGAGTCACTGTTGCCCCACTGTGGCACCCGGTATTCCCAGCAGCGTCACATCCAAGTACTAACCAGACTCGGCCTTGCTTATGTTCAGAGAGCAGCCGGTATCTCAATATAAGTCGCAATACTGATACTGATGTTGAGTCACATATGTGTACCCTATTATATTGTGAGGATTGTATTGAATGATTTGATATTAGAGTGAGTATTGTTGCATCTTTACCCCTAGTTAGTGAGAAAATATTAAACTTTCCCTACTTGTGTTCTTTTAAAAATGCGTCGAGTAGACCAATAGAAGGTGGTGACTGGGGCTGTTCAGTCTTAACATTACACTAACAATTAGAAAAATAAATGTATGCTTCATTAAACAGTTTTTGTTTTCCCTAAAATATATATTTTTTGAGTAATACATTAAAGCAGAAAAGACTTTGATGAGTTTTGATTGGATTACTGCATTATTCCACTAGGTAATTGTACTGTGAGCATTTGCCAGTTGATAGAAACCATGACAACAGGAAAAGGGAGGTCCCTCCAGTACATTAGCTGACAGTAGTCATAAATCAGTAGAAGAGATAAGTCTTATAGATCGCCCCAACACAGGGATCCTATACCAGTGCCATCATTACAGGAAAAAGGTGACGGTTGTGATTGATTAAAATGGTGCTGGCTAGCTTAGGTTAAATCATGTTAAGTGATGTGACATTGCAGTTTCACATATCATATTTCTGTCAAGACAATGATGGTGGAAAGCATTGTCAAGGCATGATCTGACAACAGCAGACATCTGTGGGGACCAGGCTGGATTTATGGGAACGTTTTAGTGGTCTGAGGGAGATGAGGGAGAGTAAAAAGTGCTCCTTTTTTGTGCATTGTCACTTCCCAAGTGACTGTAAATTTTTCTCCAGTGCTGTTGGGAGTTGGAGACATTTACACATGCTGACAAATTGTCTGCTGTAAAAGTATTTACTGGTCTTGTTCTTTCTTTAACTTGGCTCCTTGCAAACACAACCTCAAAGTGTACCTTCTGCAAATGTATACTGTATAAAACACACCACTGAGCTCATGATACAATCCAGGGTGCTGACAATATGTTCATGAATATCCAACTTCTCAAAAAAATAAACCAATTATAATAATTGTCACTATGAATTATGTCTCAATTGTGTGAGAGTGAGAGAACATTTGTGAACATTTGGAGCTTTTGGCCCAGATAAGTGGAGCGTGTTTTGTCTAAGACAAAGATGTGTAAAATATTGACTTTTCCAAAGATAAAAAGCAATAGATTAAATGTGTTATTATTATAGCAATTAATTAAATTTATCCTTCTCCTACCAAACAAAACTTTTCTGTTATCCCTGCTTGCTAGGAAATCCCAAAAACCTGGTTTTGCCACAGGGTGGCACTATGAGACTGAGAATGTCAACAACATGTTAATGCTAGCGTCTCTCTTGCGGGGGTAGGTGGGACAGGGGAAACACACACTTGCCTTTCCGACAGAGCTATAATTTACTAATAGTGCAGGCCCGCCATTGTTGTTATCTTTTAATAGATTTGTATGAGGAAAAGCAGGTGTCTGTTGTTAATGTGTCCAATTGCCCACGTTGCCTACAGAATTTGGGGCATCCATCACTGTCGCGGCAGTGACACCCTGTCGTTCTACTTCATGCAGTGGGCCAGTCGGGCTGAGCTAGTAACAGATGAGGCTTCTCTCTCCTCCAGACGCCCACATTCACGCTGTTATGTGCTGCATGCATTATATACACACCACTCACACCTATAGCACATTTTAAAACTTGTAGTTCTTTCATCAGGTTTATAAATTTATTTTAGAAAAAACGGTAAGCATACTGTATGACCTTCCAGCTGTAGCCTGGGTTTGCCCTGTGCAGCTGTGAGAAGGGTAGACAGAGTTTCCTGATTATACCCAACAGTTAGAATGGTTTCAGTCTATGCCAGCACCACTTTAGATCAAGGCCCTTGATCTATTGAGTAAAGAAAAACAAAGGCCTTTAAGCAACAGAAAAAAAAGAATAATGTTTTAATAAAGTTTTTCCAAGCTTTATTGAAAAACCTTTTTAGTTTTTTATACTGAGCATTGTGCAAATAATTACATTTCGAGATTAAAATGTATTTTAAAACATGTTCTTTAATGGAAACTACTATTTTATTCATAACAATGTATAAGAACACATGTTTTGTGTGTTTTGTATCTTAAAACACATGTTTTTTTAATTGTGTTGTATTTTATAAAACTGCCAGTAATGTTACAATAAATACAGTAATAATAATAATTATAATAATTAATGAACTTTATATTACTTTAGTGTTTATAGTACACTTCCATAGACATATTTTGCTTTTAGGACCAAGGTCAGGCAGATGCAAGTGGCCACTTTAGTGAATGTATAATTCACTTGAGCTGTCAAAAATATGGCTGCTTATATGTGGGCAATTTTCACATTTTTTCTTTCCTTTTTCCTTCTTCTGTGGAGCCATCTGAGCCCATGAACAATTCAGTGTTTCTCATGTGTTTCATTGTCTTCTTTAATGTCTGTCAAGGAGCGCAATACACATAATAATTCTGGGAATGCTTGGGCCATCCCTCTGTATGACAACTTCAATATTTCTGCTCTAGCACAGTCCTGAGCTCAGCTTTGGTAATAATTTGCCGTTTAGCTGTGTTGTTGCTTTTTCTACAATTTCCCATTTGGAAAAGGTGAGGGAGCAGAAAACTGGGGGAAAATAACCCCTTGGTCTCTTTCTTTTGTGACCCCCAACCTTTAATTTAATTGGGCAGGCTGTGCTTTCAGTTTAGCACTCTTTGGCTTTTTAAGGTTAATAACAGGACAGAACTGTTTATGTTAGTATATTATGGATTTAACACTCACTCAGCGAAGCGTACCGCACTTGAAATATGGAGCTTACCTCTTGTCTTCCACCTCTCTCTGGCCCCAGCCCCCCAAAAAGACAAACGGTATTCAGAACAAAAGGAGGAGGGAAACCTTGCCAATTAGCCACTAATGAGACAAGCTTGTGAGGATATCCAAATCCTCAACGTGTTAACATTTACAACACATCCCTCCCACCACCTCCTGCCCATTCCCAACTCTCCCAACCTGCACCTCCCTTGTGTGCCCTTGCATCCCGCCTGTAGTAGGGCACCTCTTAGGCCCTCTGTGATTATTCACACATGGCCCTGGTGCTGCCAAAGAAAGAAACTGCTATGTGTGGCTAATGGAAGAAACTCTGCTCTCACACATGGCTGTAGTTCTTATCTCATTGTTTTTAAATATTATTAGATGATTTCTTTCTTTACTTCCTCATACATTTTTTTTCCCTTTACCACCTTATTGCTTTTTGCACATTCCTAAACGTTGCCCTGTCTTCTAAAGAACTGGACATTGGTCCAATGAGATGAGTGTGTCCCTTGCCAGCCGTTCTCAATTTTCCTTAATATAGTAAGGCCAAGAATTGGGTGGGTCGGTTGCGGTTGGGTGGCTGGTGAGGGAAACACATTTGATAAGTGAAAAATAATATGCCAGGAGAAAAGCCAGTCTTCCCGGTTGCCTTTGATATGCTTTTTATCAGAGATGCCGGTGTTGGAAGTGAAAATAAAATCTGCTTTTGTAATCACGATCTTTGGACAGCCTTGAAGGATTCGCCACTACTCTTTTTCCGGCCTCATTTTCTCCTGAGTGTTGGGAGCAAGCTTGGAATCTCAGCAGGGAAAATCAAATATGAGTTGGCCTGGAAGTGTTGCAGTAAACAGTGAGAAAACGCAAACACAGGCCAGATCAGGGAATATCATGCACCGTAATGTTTGGAGCAAAAGAAGAAATGTGTAATGGAACAGCCCAAACTCCACTCTCGCCTACACTGGGGACTTCTAATTGATTCTGTGCTGTGTTACTGTACGTCTTATGGCAACATGGACACTTTATTATGAAACAAAGCATACAAGTGTTAATAGGCCATTGTAATTTTGCAATACAGTTGGCCACGGATGACTGCTGCTTTATTGCGTTGGCTTTTTTTGAAATATTTTGAGGGCAGGAGGGAGTAGCACTTTGAATAAAGCTTAGCACTGACTGAAACAATTAAGTAAAACACAACTGAAAAAAAGAAGCAGTTGGGGAGCGCAACTAAATCTAGGGCTCAACTCGATATGTTATTTGTCAGGGGCAGAACGTCTGTGCATGTTAACTAAGTGTGCCACTGGACTTGGCCTGCTCATAATGCGTTTCTATACAAACACATTCTCTCCGGGATTTCTATTATTAATTCTGTCTGAACACATCCATAAATGAATAATGAAATAAATAATACAGTCGTTATTACTTTTGGCAGCTGGGTCATTTCTCGTTTCCTGTTTTTTTTTTTCCTACTTCTTTTTCCTGCTAATTAACTTTCCAAGGAATTGTCCCCCTTTTTTTTTAGCCAATTTTATCCGCGCACCACTAGACATATGAGTGGTTGAGGTCTAAATATATGAAAACTTGTGGGCAGACTTCCACAGGCTTTAATGTACTGTCTTAAAGATACAAATTAAATGTTTATCTTTTGTTTTCATAAATCTGTCTCGTGATCTGCACAATGCTGGTATTGACTTGAATGGTAGTGGTCATAAGTACTTATTTAATATTTGCCCTCTGGAATTATATGATATCAATGATGATTTTCTTCCCACTTTCTCCTCATTAGAGCCTTTGCAAACTTGTTCAAAGGGCTCCCTCATTTTTGTTGCATTTTACTGTTAATTAGTTTGCTTTGTAAGGTTAGAC